GAAACACAATAGACACAGACAATAGGCACAGGCAACAGGGAATAACGAGCCGTCCAATCAGAGCTTTGGGGTATAAGTTCGATATTATAATCCAGAGCTCTGATTGGACGGCTCGTTATTCCCTGTTGCCTGTGCCTATTGTCTGTGTCTATTGCGTTTCCAGCTTAAGCCCGAATCCTCATACTGGCAACAGCGCTTTGACACCGAACGCTGATTGGTGAAAAACGGCTGATGGGGGTAAATTTTATCCCCATAACCGGCTTTTCACCAATTAGCGCTCTGTATCAAAGCGCTGTTGCCCGTATGAGGATCCGGGCTAATTCTAATCCAGCATGAAAACAAGCATCGTGTGCCGCTGACTTAAGGGTATATCCACATAAACTTACCGCATAAACGTATGCATAAAGAAAATTATTCAATCACATTTTACGAGCGTCTTTGAAGGAGAAACGCGATTGGATCATTTCCTTTATGCACGTTTATACGGCTATGCAAGTTTGCGTGGGCATACCCTAAAGGGTTTCATACATGAAATGCATAACAGAGCATAAGCATAACATAAAGGCCGCAGCATAGACTTTTGCATAACGCATAACGCAGAGTGCATAAGCGAATCAACTAATCAGAATCTTTCCTTTCCTCCAATTGAATCGAAAAGAAGAATTTCAATTGGTTCCCTTATGCACTATGCGTTATGCATTACCCCGGATCTACAATAGGTGTTTTAAGCCTTAAGCCGTAAGAAATTGACCAATTACAGTCGAATCCGAGAAGAATAAACGACTGTGATTCATCCATTTCTTATGGCTTAAGGCTCAAAACTCTATTGTAGATCCGGACTTATGCAAGAGTCTGTGCTGCGGCTATAAGATTGCTGGACCAATGAGCATCTAGCATAATGTCGCTATATTGATTTACATAAGATGCTCATTGGTTTAGCGGCCTTATGTTATGCTTATGTTCTGTTATGCATTTCATGTGTGAAGCCCATAAGGCCTGTGTCACATTGAGCTGTTCATGCGGCAGCGGATAAAGACATAGAGAATGGATTGCGCGATCCGTATCTAAGTAATGTATCAAATGTGATCGACAATAATGAGAGAGAGGGACCGTGGGAGACGGTCAATCTCCTTTCATTCTCTCTCCCAATACACCATTGACAGGAAAGAGATAGAAATTGTCGTCTGCCATAGTCCCTCTCTCTCATCCCTATCGACCATTTTGACACATTAGCGGTCTTATGTTATGTTTATGCACTGTTAAGGCCGCGACACAGACTTTTGCATAAAGCACAATGCATAGTGCATAAACGAATCAACTAATCAGAATCTTTCCTTTCCTCCCATTCCATGGAAAAGAAGAATTTCGATTGGTTGATTCTCTTATGCACTATGCGCTATGCGTTAAGCAAAAGCTTGTGTCTGGGCTCTTATGCATTTCATGTATTTGGGGCTTTACGCATAACGCATAATACATCAGAAAATGAACCAATCACAGTCCTTTATTTCCTTTCTTTCCATGAAATAAAGGACATTGGTCTTGATTTACTTATCCTCACGTTTTATCCGTTATGCAAGAGGCATAAGAAATTGAACCAACCAGAGTTCTTTATTTCATGGAAAGGAAGGAAACGGAGGACTTCGATTGCTACATTTTCTTATGCATTACGTGTTATGCAAGAGTCTGTGGTCCCCGATTAACTACACAAACTTGCACAGCCGCATAAACGAATGCATAAATAAAATTATCCAATCGCATTTCTCCTATAAAGACGCACGTAAAATGTGATTGGATAATTTCCTTTATGCATATGTTTATGCAAGATTGTGTGGATATATTAGGGGTATAAATAAGTTTCCGCCGTTTGGCAAAAGATGGTGCCAGCAGTATGTATAGGGGTTTTTTCCAAGTGCACATTTTGAGTTAGGATTTTTCTCGTATAGTAGGAGGCAA